CGAATGTCGGTGATTATTATGCTAATAAACGATGACATTGAATGACGAATAGCAAAACGAATTTCTGTTTACTAAACAAAGATGATAAACTTGATTTACTGAGTAGTGTCTGTTTTGTTAATGCTCATTCGTTATGTGATAGTTATTGCACTGATCAGTTCATTGTTTAATCGTAGCAAAGAATAAGTTTTCATTATCAGTACACATTATAACTAATTGCTAGTTATTTTGTAGGAGCTAATCATGATATTCACATGTAGCAACCATATTAAGTGAATAACACATATTCTGATTTGTTAGTGTTTGTCAGGTTAGAGTGTTCGTGCAACAGTAGATTTGATAAGAATGACGGTGATGGAAATGATGATGATAAATTATTTCCTTTTCGTTGACTTGAGCTGTGATATGTCTGAAAGCAAGTTCTTTGTAAATGAGCAAGGAAGTGTACTGATATTATTTAATTGTGTTTTAAATGTAAAAAAATAAACAATCAGCTAAGATTTAACGACAACGAATAGCTGAATTACTTTTAGGTTCATATGAAGACTGGACTAGTTAGCAATTAAAGTAGAATAGTTTNAGCAAGGATGTGTACTGATATTATTTAAGTATGTTTTAAAGGTGAAAAAAATAAAAAATCAGCTAAGATTTAACGACAACGAATAGCTGAATTACATTTAGGTTCATATGAAGACTGGACTAGTTAGCAATTAAAGTAGAATAGTTTGATGTATTTCAAAGGAAGAAAATGAAGTGAGTTGATCGTTGAGTAAGATAAAGGTGGTATTGTAATGACGTGATTATCATCGTTGTCGGTGTGATTATCAGATATAATAAATTCATTTTGAAGTGCGATATTCACAGCAGAAGTTACGGTCTGCAGAGAGCAATCAAATGAGTGAGTTCGAAGCAGAAAATATGCCAGAATTTATGTATTCATTTTGAGTATTCCTTTCATTCGTTAAAACTGAATAGCAAAGTATCTCAGTTTTCAAATTTGTTTTGAGATTAACTCAATGAATGATTGTTGTAGTTGTTGGTTCAATGACCCTAATAAAACTTGTTGTCATATCGTAAAGGTTGGTAGGTAGATTAATTCGTAGATAGATAGGTCTGCTCTCTCTTTCTTCAAACGACGTCTTCAATATTTTCCTATTATCCCAACCTCAGCCTAGGTACCTCTTTTCATCTGTTTCTGATATAATCTCATCAGTGAAAAATATTCAGTTGATCCCATCTCAACTTGACGTAATATTTCACATCCACTATTACAATTTATCAAATTTCAATGCGTAATCTGTTACAAGANTATTGATTAATTGATTGGTTGATTGAAAGAGGTTAAATTTGAGGTATGTGCGAGTCATTGATTACCGCTTCGTTTGGTCTTGCACCCACCCCTCCACCGATCAGTGAACAGGTAGGTTCTTATTTATGTACATTTACTTTTTTGTTTTCACTTTGATAAAGGTAATGCAGCATACATGTGATATGAATAATCAGTATATATTCAAAGTATCAACATTGGTAATTATTCAATAAATGATTATTTGCCTTGAATCGAATCGAGCGTTATTTAAATAGTTTCGTAAGGCGTTGAGTGGATTGGTTGTTCGGTCGATAGACTACTTATTCGATTGTATTTATTGCTGTCTTCATCCGAAACATACCCGTTCAGATTTACTTGTTCTAGGATGAATATGTGTTATACAGATGTTCGTTTTAATAAACGTCACTAATCTAATTCACAATTTTATGGTTTAAATATATAGGTAGCTGTATCGGTATTGAATGAGGTTTGGTTATTGGATAGGATAAAAGCAGCGATAATTGACTGAATTGATCATGCAGTTACCTTGATCGATCAAGTGATCATACGCACTGTTGCAAGGCATCTGCAAGTGATGACGCATCTGCATTATTCAGCTGCTTCACCAACATTTTCTAAATATCCATCCCACATATCCTCATGAAATCATCTTTCCATAATCTGAAACATTCACTTTACTGATTTTGTCCGCTATCTTTAATTGCCGTCTTCACCAGAATTCCGATCACACATTTGTGAGATAATTTTTGCGGCGCAGTTATTCAACGAGTTGACTGAGATGCGAGCTTTTTGAAAGATATTCTGTCAAATGAAATCTCTACATATTCCAATTTGTCCATCTTCGATACTGTCTAATCGAAAGTGTTTTTTATGGGTGGCCAATCTACTATCAATTTGATGAAAATATTTATTCTCATTGTTAAATAAACAATAACAAAAGCGATAATTAAAATTCTGTCATACATATCGGAATTATATTTCAAACCATTCTCGGTTTCAAAGGGTTCCGTGTTCAGTATAAAAACAAACCAAAAAAGCCGCTCCATGAATATCACTTCATAATGATTATTATTATTTTATTATTATTATTTATTGTTATTATTATTGCTATTATTACTATTATTATCATTATTGTTATTATTATTATTATCATTATCATTATTATCAGTCCATATGTTTGATCGAGACCATTAACAGTGTTCATTTCCGTGGATTTATTCCATTCTAAACTCATATCTATCTCAGTCAGCTCATTGTACTCCACAAAACCCATACCAATAACCGTCGCGCAAAAATGTCACTTCATCCAGAATCTATCTAAATCCGCAACATCAAAAAACATTCAAATATGAAAGCAGCGCACGTTCGGATGATGAAAGTGGTGACTAGCAACTTGCATTAAGGTGATCAAGTGTCCACTTTGTCTCGAACCGTACCGTGAACCAAAAGTATTGGCGTGTTTTCATAGCTTCTGTAAGGCTTGTTTGGAAAGACAACTGGATTGTAATTGTGCTGAGAAGATCGTTTGTCCACAGTGCCATGCCGAGACGCAACTCTCGGTGCAACTTGGTTCGTTTTTCTTCTTGCTGATGCTAAAAGAACATTAGTTGCTGTTATTGTCAATACTTGTGCTGTCCTTATTAGGTATCGACAGCCTGTTGAGTGATTATGGACTTGAGAATGTATTATCACGTCAGTTGTCAAGCGATGATAATAGATTGATCTTTGGTCCACCAAGTTCAATATCCTCTTCACCATCGCTCAGTGATTCACCATCATATGATCACGTAAGCGTTTTGTTTATCATTGTTTTATTATTGTGTTTGATATTTTTGCTTTGTTGCAGACAGTTTTAATGCTTTTGTGATATTAGATAGAAATGTGAGTGTTGTTAACTCAAACATTTAAATAAATCAAAGAATTTCGAAGTGAGTGGTAGGCGGTGCCGAACCGTCTGAGTTATGTATCGAATGTAATCAAATGCAAACATCAGTCCATTCAAATTCAGTCACATAGCATTGTTGTATTCTGGGTTGTTGCTGTATGAAATGGGATATTCCAGAATGGCATCTCTAGTAGCAAGAACAGTAACAGTAAGAAGAGGGAATGCTCATCACCGGCAATAACAACAACAATAAACTCGTCACAGTGCACTGGATGTAAGTCAGGTGAACGTGCGAGTGCATTCTGTAAGGATTGCACACATTATCTGTGCTCGAACTGCACGAATGCGCATCAGTACATGCATTGCTTCGACGGACATCGCGTCGATCGGATCGCTTTATCCTCATCACCAGTTCTATCTGATAACAACAATCTAAGCAGTGGGTGCAGCAGCAGCGCCAACAATAATATTGCCACTAACATCAATGATGATGATA